GTACAATCCAACTACTGCCCAACACCCTGCCTCTGCACAACAGAGGCATCATAGCAGCTAAGATGAGCAGGCACGTGGCTCAATACATGAGCAGCACCCAGAAAGGAATTGGTAGTAACACCAGAGGAGCAAAGCACCAGCTACTGGTTGATAAAGTAGTCACTCGAGACTGCAAGACCAGGCATACGAACCTCTGCACTGCCTGGATTGACTACAAGAAAGCCTATGACTCAATGCCTCACACATGGATCCTGGAATGCTTGGAACTGTACAACATCGACAGAACTCTTAAGAGCCTTCATGAAGAACTCAATCCAATTGCACAAGTCAACATCAAGTGAGGTATCTACCAAGGAGATGCTCTGTCCCCGCTGCTGTTCTGCATAGGCCTGAAACCCCTCAGCCAGATCATCACCAAGAGCAGTTACGGATACTGACTACGGAATGGAGCAACCATCAGCCACCTCCTCTACATGGATGACATCAAGCTGTATGCCAGGAGTGAATGAAACATCGATTCACTAGTCCACACCACTAGGATCTAGAGCAAAAGTCACACTGGCTTGGATGTCGCCTGGGTCAATAAGATCTGTGTCAGGTGTTGAGGAACCAGGGCAACCGGAACAAGAGCATGGTCAAGAGATGAGAGCAGGGAACTGTTGGAATGCTACTATACATACGGAAGATGTGGGACCTATGGATACTTCGAAACCCAACATCTAGACTAACATCGAAACAACTAGTAGCTCAGTGTTCTAACAACCACAAGAAGAACCTGCTATCACAACTACAGATTAACAAGGTACATCACGAATGCTACAGCAAGGGGGAGCCCGGACGATAGGTCAGGGGGGAGATGTCATCATTACCCCCAAGTAACTAGCCCGATTAACAAGCCCAGATGACCTTAATGCAAAGATTGAAGATCATGATCAATATAGACACCTGGTACCTCCATGCCTGGTTACCAAAACTAAGTGAAATGCCTTCTGAAAGTCTATTAGCGCATGTGAATGGATGACACCAAGTTGTATGCCAGGAGTGAATGAGACATCGACTCACTGATCCACACCACTAGGATCTACAGCTACTACATCTACAGGATCTACTACATCAGAATGTCATTCGGACTGGATAAGTGTGGTTGAATGGTAACAAATAGAGAAAAGGTAGTCAGAACTGAGGTGATTGTACTACCAGAAGGCAAAATAGCAGATGTTGAGGACAGCTAGAGGTACCTTGGGATCCTGCAGGCAAATGAGAACCATGAAGAGGCTGCAAGGAAAGCAGCAACTACCAGAGAGTAAGGCAAGTACTGAGAATTCAGCTGAATGGAAAGAACAAAGTCCTGGCGGGGTGTTCAAACCCCGGCCAGGGCATGGTCAATATCCTGCCTGGGTCGATTAACAGCTACGCCCTGCCAGTCATTAGATACCCCGCTGGCATAATAAAGGAGGAGATAGAGGCCACTGACGTCAAAACAAGGAAGCTCCTTACAATGCATGGAGGGTTTCACCCCAAATCCAGCATCCTGAGACTGTACACTAAGCGGAAGGAAGGCGGCTGAGGATCCATGAAAACATCAATCATCAAAAAATGCGAGTCTATAGCAAAACGACAGTTTATAGGAAATATGTGCATTTGGTGAACTTACATCATCTATGGTGCTGTTAATGCATTGTCCATTTTTTTTAGCAGACAAACAGCAGAAGGAGGTATGGAGCTCACGGCTGCAGAAGTGGCTGTACGAGCGCTTCGGGGTTTACATCGAAGACTTTCGCTTTCAGCCCGAGGAGAATACCGTGGAGGCTGAGGAACCACTAAGTGCTAAAAGGTGGGAGAGAACCACTTTAAAATAAAACGTGTCTGTTCTTAGACATTGATTCTGCACTTGTTCCACGAGATGTGGAGTCAGATATCTAGATAGCAGCTGGTGAGCACTAAAGGGGTGCATCTGTTGGAGATTATGTCACAGTAGGCTCAGATTGATACTGCTTCCGTTATTGCTTCTTTTTGAAGAATCAAAATGAACTGTTGCATGTACCTTTGACATGTGCTACACATTCACTGCAGATGAATTTAAGATATTCAGTTGTTAGATAAGATTTGTTCAGATCAGCCTTTACAGTATTTTGTAAGGAGAGAGGACATAAAGTTCAAAGCTTTTTTCTCTTTTATTTATTTTTTTCTTTCCTCTGTAAAGATGAGTGAGTCATGCCAGGCTGATGAAGGCCAAAGCGTCACTACCTCTCTCACCTAAAATATTTTCTTTATGTGTTTATCTGTTAGCATTTGTGTGTGTTCTGACCTTTACTTTTGGTGTTTTCCATCCAGATTGACAGAAAATATGAGGCGACTTAGTGAGTACTCAAAACACACACACACACACACACACACACAGATATGAAACTGTAATAGAATCAGTCTGTTAGATTATTAACTTTGCTCCAAAGCCATTATACAGTGGCATTATACAAATACATTATACAATGCTGTTATATCAACTATGGCAAAAAAATTATAGACAGACTTCCAGATGTGCCTAGACAGTGATTGCCTTGCACCTGCATGTTGCAGTATTTTCGGTTAAGGTCCCAGTCAAAAGCAGCGTGTCTGTTCTGTTCAGTACAGAATAGAGAATAGTGGAGGCCTTTTTCACGTTTGTCAGCTTCAACTTATTTTTGAGAAAAATGTTTTAAATTGTAACTAATTTTCAGCGTAAACAATGTCCTTAAACTAATTCTCATTTTCAAAAGTTAGCATGACATACATTTTAATCAGTTAAATATACAGTATACTGAAACAACAGGCACTGTGCTGTTTGTACTTTGTATTTCACCAAAATCATGCTGAATATATCCCTCTACTTTTGTTTCAGAGCGAGGAGCCAGACCTGTTACCAACTTCTTAAGGAATCTCTCTGCCTTATCTAATTGGCACTCTGTCTACACCTCAGCAATTGCCTTTATTGTGAGTGCACACTTTTTGTACTTATAACTAGGGCTGCAACAACTAATCAATAAAATAAATAATAAAAATTGTTGGAAATTAATTATCAGTTAGTTGGGTCTAGACATGTAGCTGTGTAAGATGGCTGGTTCAGCGACTGGGTACGTAAGTGAGGCATATCAAAATGTTTGAAACACAGCAGAATCAGCTGATAGTATGAAATGTGGACAACCAGTCATTTAAAGTTTGGGGGCACTTTGTGTTAAAATAAGAAAGAAGATTGTCCAGTGCCAAATATGCAAAATTTATCTGTCCTGACAGGGGAGCATGATGCTAAAGCATTAGCATCTTATGAAAATTCACTGAGTTACAGAAAAGGGGGAGTCTGGAGCTAAGTAAGTTGTTAATTTTAGTTACTAATGTAGTTACTAATGTAACTAAAATTGTGCCATTTGTGACTAGCACACATCTTACTACAGGGTCATGTGCACACAAATGGAAAAAAGAAGTTGAGAAAGCCAGAAATTCTACAATGAAAATCTAAAGACAGTGGAGCAATTAACCAAAAAAAAAACTTGAATAGTTATGTTAGTGATGAAGAATGAATGAGCTTCCATGTTTAGTTGTGTCAGTTCCATCCATCCATCCATTATCTATACCGCTTATTCTAACGAGGGCCATGGTGGGGGCTTGAGCCAATCACAGCTGACATTGGGCAAGAGGCGGGGTACACCCCAAACAGATCACCAGTATATCACAGGGCCGACACTTAGAGATAGACTATTTGATCCTTTTAAAAGACCATCATGCTTTGTAGAATAAGAGAAATATTAAAGAAATACTAATAATGACAAAGCTGTTATTGTAACTTAAATCTTATATTATATAACTGTAGAACAGAAAAAAACTAAATAACCAGTTAATTCACACACACGTTAGTGCTCAAAGCAGAGCACATAGCCTAAGAGTAAATGTATTGAGGATTGTTTAGGCATACTCAAATTTACTTTACATCAGCAGTAGCAGTCATGTTTTCTACTAGCTCTTTACATTACCTTGGTATGTTTTCTGAAAATATAAATTATTGTAAATAAACATTTTGTTCACACTGTAAGGACCTGTTGTGCATTTTATAAAAATTCTATTCTTGAACAAAGAATTTATTTTTTGATTAATCAACAAATTTATAAATTTTTTAAATAATCATTAGTTGCAGTCCTACTCATAACTTCTAACATTACTCTGTTATGTTAATTTCAGTTTGAACTTTACAAAATATTTCATTATGTCATTTGATGTACAAAACAAGAGATCTATAAAAGCACATTGAGTCCATTTGGTCTCACATGACGATGAAATACAAATTTTGTACAGTGAAACCTTGGATTGCGAGTATAATTTGTTTCGGCAATGTGCTCGTAATCCAAAGCGCTTGTATACCAAAGCGAATTTCCCCATAAGAAATAATGGAAACTCAGATGATTTGTTCCACACCCACTTATCCATATAAAAATGATTACAGTAATACAAAATACAGTATAAAATAAAAAATAAAACAAATTAACCTGCACTTTACCTTTGAAAAGAAGCGTGGCTGGTGTGAGGGGCCACTGTTGCAGTACAGATATCGATTATACGAGTGATGCGCGAGAACCAATCGCAGTACGTCACATGACGCTTGGCAGACAAAGTGTACATACTACTCGTATTGCAAGACCTCGTTCATATATCGAATCAAAATTTTTTGCTTGTCTTGCAAAACTCTTGCAAACCGAGTTACTGGCAATCCAAGGTTCCACTGTATTTCACTGTGACCATCTCTTAAATCATCATTAAAGTAAAGCTTTATTTTAATCTTGACATTGGTTTTACTCTCTCCTACATAAAGCCACACAGGTTTCTTGAGTAGAATTCTGTCAAATACAGTTTGGTATGTTGTGGTGGTTCTATCTGTGTTGTAAAAGTGACAGCTACAGTAAATTAAATCTGTAATTTGAACCATCTGCAAGCTCATAGAAATTGAGTTATTGTCAGGGTAGATAAGCAGAATCTACATACTGAATACAAATTCTGACAATTCAGGTTCAGGCTAAAGTAATGAATCAGTTTGACCTCAGTCCTGTAGTGCTTAGAATTTAATATACTGTATATTGATGTGAAATGTAGCTCTATAAACTGATCACCACTGAAAATGTGGGAAAATAAAACACTCAAATTTAAACTGTTGCGCATTGTGCTGTTTCTTTTTGCCTTCAGATCTATATGAATGCTGCTTGGCATGGCTGGGCCATTCCCATGTTCCTCTTCCTGGCTATCCTGCGCTTGTCCTTAAATTATCTCATCGCCAGGTAAAAACATTTCTCAGTTATACAGTGGCTAGCCTCTGTGCCAGTGATTACAGTATGTTTAATATCATGTTTAGCCAGCATTATCCTATTGAGGTTAAACCTGTTTTGCAAGGGTGCCCTGAACATTTGGGTAATAAAATTTTATTAAAATGATCTGCTGTGGCATATGGACCTCTGACCACACAGCACATACTATGGTTAAAATGGGCAAAATTTTTAAACATTCACACATTTGTATTTCTGATTATTATAATAGTTGCCACAGAAGACCTTTGCAAAGTAAAGAGCTAAACATGAATTAATTTACAGAAACATCAGCAAAACCATTTTTAACTGGGATATTTTGGGGATCCTAATGAAACAGGGGCACATAAGTCTCTTCCAGACATCTGTCTAGACCAGGCATGGGCAAACTACGGCCCGCGGAATGTGTACGGCCTGTTAGGCTTTTTAATTCGGCCCGCTGAACTTGTCCAAATTATATTATTAAATTATGTTGTCATTAAACCTCATTTGTTTTGCCATTTCCCTTTCCCTACAATGCCCGCATTTCACCAGTAGATGGTGCACTTTAGACACATTGACCTCTCTACTTCACTTTTTTGCTTTGCTCTTTGACCGGGTTTCTGTTGTCATCGAGAGAATGAAGCTACCTTGGAGTAAACTTGGCAATGTCACCACTGATGGATCACCAAATTTAACTGGAAAAAACATTGGGCTGCTGAAAAGAATCCAGGATAAAGTGAAAGAGAAAAACCCTGACCAGGATGTTATTTTCCTTCACTGCATCACTCATTAGGAATCTCTGTGTAACTGCATTGCAGCCTAATCATGTCGTGAATCCAGTCGTAAGACTTGTTAACTTTATATGAGCAAGGGGACTTCAGCACCATCAGTTTATTACATTTCTGGAGGAAATCGATGCAGATCACCAGGACTTACTTTACCACTCTCGTGTCCATTGGTTAAGTTTGGGCAAAGTGTTTCAATGAGTGTTAGAGCTCAAAGAGGAGATTAGTGCATTTTTGGAGTTAATGGGGAAATCTGATGAATTTCCTGAGCTGAGCAACAAGAACTGGCTTTGTGACTTTGTGTTTGCTATGGACATTTTTTCACGCATGAATGAGATGAATGTGAAGCTACAGGGGAAAGATCAGTTTGTGCACGACATGTACACAAATGTGAGAGCCTTCAAATCCAAGCTGACTTTGTTCTCCAGACAAATTTCAAACAAATGGCCATTTTTGCTCATTTTCGCTCATTTTCCCACACTAGCCATGCAGAAAGAGGCCACCCGAAACGCGAAGAAATATAGCAAATCACTGGACGACCTGCACGGAGAATTCTTCTGTCTGTTCTCTGATTTTGAAAAAATTGACAAGTCACTTCAGCTGGTGTCCTGTCCCCTGTCACAAGACCCTGAAACAGCACCACAGGAGCTGCAATTGGAACTAATCGATCTTCAGTCTGACTCCGTTTTAAAGGAGAAGTTCAACTCTCTTAAACTGAATGACTTTTATGCTTTTAAGCCACGTTTCCAAACCTCCAGCGGACGGCATAGAAGATGCTGGCGTTGTTTGGCTCGACCTATGTGTGTGAGCAGACGTTCAGCATCATGAACATCAACAAAGCCAGTCACAGATCCATGTTAATTGGCCAACACCTCAGATCTATCCTGAGAATAGCCGCAACAAAACTAACTCCAGACTTTGATGCACTGGCTAAAAAGGGAGACCAACAACACTGTTTCCACTGAAATTGAAGGTTTATTTCTCTACTGTGTTATGAAAAAAATGCATTTGGAGAATAATTTGTACAATAAGCCTTGCATATTCATGCTTTGCTTCCTGTTAAAGGCCAAAACCTTTTATGTAATGGCAAACTTTTTGACTCACGGGCCACAATGGGTTCTAAATTTGACAGAGGGGCCAGGCCGGGAGCAGAAGGATGGAGTGTTTGTGTGAACTAATATAAATGACACATATAAAAGCCCAACCCTGGTCTAGACTTTACATTATCAAACTGGGACACCTGCTCTCCCTAAAAGTGCTGAAAGTTGTAAAGCTGTTACTTGGAGACACTCAGTTTAAAGGCTGGAGAAAGGGTTTGTTGGCCTCATTTGATCCAAACAAAACACCTTATAAAAATATGCTACAATCACATTTTTTTCTTGTTTTCCAGAGGTTGGAGGATACAATGGAGCATTGTGCCTGAGGTCTCCGAGCCCATGGTAAGACAACTTCCCACTTCTGGTTTTTGTGTGTCATAAGGAAAACGTAACCTCCAGTGGAGGTCAATGTGGGTGTTTCTCAAGTCTCGTATATGGGTCGTCATTCCTTTACTTGCATTTTTTCTCTTCCTTTTCCATTTAAAATGCAAGAAAAACATGAGGAGAGAGGACTCGAGGAAAGACGTTATTAACAACATAAGACATCCTTTCCTTTTGTCCTTCATCTGAAACATCCAGTCACCAATTGATTTCTGATAAAAGGGCATGCCAGTCCATGAAAAACTGCCATGAAGGATGGTCTTGTGTATCTTCTGCTCATGGCTCCTCCAGCAGCCTCCTTGCTCCACAGAGCCTATATAAGAAATTTGAAATGGTCAACCAGTATGGAGAATGTAGGAATCATAAGAGACTTGAGAAGCACTCTGTCTTATTAACTTGTTATTTTGTTTTATGCAGGAGCCTCCAAAGGAAGATTTGACTGTGTCTGAGAAGTTTCAGCTTGTACTTGATGTTGCACAAAAAGCACAGGTACAACATGGATCTTAACTTCTTTCACACCAGTGTACAAAGATAATGAAACGGTATTGGTTATACCAGTTAAAGTCCCACATAGTCAGTTTCACCAGTGGGACAAATTAATCTCATGATTTCTTTGGAATGGGAAGAAACCAAGTATTAGATATTAGACATTAATCATCATAAGGAGGGAATGGATTATTACTGCACTGCCCAAAACTTTCTCTGGTGTGATAATGCATATGAGGCAAAATGGAAGGAGACGGAAAAAAATAAATGTGAGAGACACTACCACATTTGTTTTACCTTATTTACTTGCTTGATACTGTGAAACATTTAATTTGTGGATGCAGCTAAAAAAACGTAGATGGGTGGCACAGACTTCATAGACCTAACATTTTAATATTGGACAAAGTATCACTTGTTACTGTAAAATAATGGAAAAAACATGTTACAAAGTTTCCAGACACTAAATGAAAAACACAACTACCCAGTATACTACTAATTCTATATTTTTTTAAACTTTGTTGAAAATTTGCAAAGTTTTATGGTGGGTCATACAATGATTAAACTCTCTTTACAGAACCTTTTTGGTAAGATGGCGGATATTTTGGAAAAGATAAAGAAGTGAGTCTTTAAAACAATCTCTGTTTTGCACAAATTATGCAAGCAGTGCATATAATCTAACTGTAATATATTTTGTTTCTCTTCTCCCTTGTCTGTCTGTGTGTGTCTGTGTGCTTTTTCTGTTAGCCTGTTCATGTGGGTGCAGCCAGAGAGCACCCAGAAACTCTACATCTGCTTATGGGTGGCGTTCATCACCTCCTGCATCCTGCCATACAAGCTTATGGGCTTCATGATGGGTGAGAAACATACACACTTAAAGCAGCTTTATCCTTCTGGTATACAGTACTGTACAAACTGCATATGACCCTTGAATAAAGGCATAGACTTATACTAAGTCCAGTGCACACAAACAACTGCATTCATGCCACAGTTATCTAACTGTTCTCCCTGTGCCTATGAGGAGCAGCTATAGGCTGCTGTCATGCCTATCTGATATAATAGTAGCTTCAAATATTTCTTGAAAACATAAGGACCCCAAAGTGCTGAGAGTTCATCATTCCTCAGAGCAAAAATAATGAATGCAATGCTCATGTTCATTGCAGCTACTGTAGCTAAATAGTTGCCACTTCCTAAATATGTAGAATTTCTTCCATACTGTACACAATTTTGTTCCAGTAAATTTGTGGATTCTTAACAGAAGTATTCAAAACATGCTATTGACCATCATGGTTCCAAATCTTTCAGTTGCCATTCACATCACAGATGTGTGACTCCTAAAGCTTAACAAACAGGAATCTGCATTAAAAGAAATGGACAAAGACATGGATGTGATTGATGCAGCTGTACAAGTTGTAAGTCCTTGTACAGAAGTAACAACTCTCAAATGGTTGTATTATTTGGCAGAGTGAAAAACATTGTTCTAAGAAGTCACTACTGCATCTTTAGAGTTTTTCTTGGCAATTTGAACTTTGTTTAAAGAACTGACTCAGTTTATTTACTTGGTGCCCAATTCTCCTTGTCCTTTTGAAAAATGTACAGTATAATTCAAGGGTAGTTTCAGAAAATAAACACAGTTGTCTGTTCACAACAGTGGCTGTATGATTATTGCCAGTAACAATTTAAGCTCACGTCAATATGTGATTCGAAAAAATATTGAAATGTGGAGGTCAATGAAAGGAAAATCATGTACAAGAATTTGAATGATAAAAAGGATACAAAAGAAGAAGAACTGGGAAAGGCAAGGTTTTAAAAAGTAAGCAGGAGGCTCAACATTGCCGTTCCTTTTTGTGGATAACCTTTCCTTACATAGGCACTTTTCTGCCCATTCTTTCCCTTATTCTGTGCCTGGTTTCTTCTTTCCAGGCTTGTATGCCGGTATTAAGTTCTTCATCATAGACTTCTTGTTCAAGAGCTGTCCAAAGCTGCGGGACAAGTACGACACACCCTACATTGTGTGGAACACCCTCCCTACTGACCCCCAGCTCAAAGAGAGGACCAACGCCACAATGTCGCGACGGGTAAGATGGCAGAATCACACACGTATACATCTTTATCACCTCCTTCACTGCCCTCTCACATAGTTTTGCTTTACTAAACTATTGGTCTCATACACTATATAAGACAAGAAAGTCGTAAAGCACCAAATAATTTGTTCATGTTTGTTCAACACAAGGTAGAAAGTCAGATGTTGAGGGAACAAATAATATATGCCATGCTGGGGGACCATTTTCACTGCAGGTCAGATTCAGTGTTTGATGTTGGTAAGGGTCAGTTTGCCTCCCACTGCTGACCCTCCTCTGGTGGAGCAAAGAGAGAGAAGAGGTCAATAAAGTATCAAAATATTTTCCCTCCTGTCAATAATACATCACAACTCAGCCACACACTGTCATGACCTGCCCTTTGTATATGTGACTGTGTGTCTTTTGCTGTGGCCTCAGTCACGGGTGTACTATGTTGTTTCTCTCTCAGCTCTCTGGCATTGAGAAGGTAGGGACTTTGGTGTGTCTCCCTTTGGTTCCTCTACTGTGCCCGGGTGTGCTGCCAGCTCCCCTCTTAAGCCTGTGTGTATGTGTGTTTGTGTGTGATGCGTGACACCTTGGGGTGGGCCTTAAGTGACTGTGAACAGAATGGATCAAAATGTTATGATTACCTGTAACCTCTCATTTCAAAATAGTTTTTTTTATATATAGTTATAAATATCACAGTTTTTATCCATATGTAAGCTTCTGAATAAGTGACATTTTTGATCCATTGACAGAAACTGTGAAACAGTAGTCTTTTAACTGAGTAGTTAATCTATAGAATGGACCCTTAACTCTGTCATTTCTTATTAGCTCATTAAATTGTCTGTATTCCTAACTGTCTGTCGTAATGAACCCTCAGAAGTCATTGATTTAGATTTTTTTAATGTTGGTTGATAATCCAACTTTTATCATAGTGTAAACATTCATCTTGGGATGGCTTTAATAAAGTTTCAAGATTTTTATTTGCCATTTTTGCATAAACAGACAGTCTAGGCATATAGGAATTCTTGTGCAGCTCTCTTGGAGTCAAGTAAAGAGTTAAAAGCCAGAAAAGAACAGCTTGTCTAAGAATAAAGTTACGTAAAAGTGACATAGTATAAAAACACAATACAGAAAATAAGATAATAGATGAGATGGTGGACTTCAAATATTGCACATAGTATTTCACATAGTGGAGTTGGATATGTCATTACGCTTGGGGAGGTAGTGAGGGGTTATTGCACATATATTCTCACATTTTCATATTTGCCATCAGTCTTACTGCGGCAGGGAAAAAGCTGTTATAAAGTCTAGTTCTGTGTGTGATGATACTGTCCACCCTGCTGTGCCTGAGGTTGTAGATGCAGTTTTTGTGTCTGAGCAGAGTGTGAGCTGGGTGGCGTGGATCCCTGATTATGTTCTCTGCCCTTTTACGACAGCACTGTGTGTACAGTGTGTCCATAGCAGGCAGTTCAGTCCCAGTGAGCCTCTCTACAGTCTTTATGACCCTTTGAAGAGCCTTCCTCTTTGCCTGTGTGGTGTTACCATACCAGACTGTGATGCCAGTAGTGAGGATGCTCTCTACCAGTCCTCTATAAGCCTGGGTGAGAGGTCGACGGTTCAACCCAGCTTCTCTGAGCCGCCTGATGAAGTATAGCCACTGCTGGGCTTTCTTCACTGTG